AAGTTTCGGGGTATTCATCAAGTGTTCTTTTAATTGCTGGAAGGCTTTCTCATATTCCTCATCCCACATTAACTTAGGCCTCTTGACGACCTTGAAAAAGAATAAGCTCTTGTCAACTCATCGGGATAGAAATCGCCCAAGCGCAACTAAGCAGCCTGTAAGGCGTTGCACTTCTTTCACATTCCCGAGGGATTCCATGTCGAGGATGGCTTGAATTTTGTCCGGGTTAGCATCAATGTCACGTTGATCCACCATAAAGCCGAGGCACTTTCTCTCTTGCACCCCGAAGACACATTTTCTTGGATTGAGTTTCATTTTATATTTTCTGAGGGTGGTGAATGTTTCCCTTAGGTCTACTATGTGGTTTGAGCTCTCTTTGCTTTTAACGATCATGTCATCAACATAGGCTTCAATGTTTTGGCTCGTTTTTCCTTCAAAGATTTTGTTCATCAAGCGTTGGTATGTAGTCCCGGCATTCTTCAACCCGAATGGCATAACATTATAACAGTATCCTTTGCTAGTGATGAAGGCTGTGTGGGCTTGATCTTTTTCTGACATGGGTATTTGATGGTACACAGCATTGGCATCCATGAAGCTTAGGAGGGTGTGACCAGCGGTCGAATCTGTGATCATCCTTTAGGGAGGCTTTGTTCAAATATGTGAAGTTCACACACATACGCCAAGATCCATTTGGCTTTCTAACAAGTACAACATTAGATAGTCACTCAGTATATTGGCATTCTCGAATGAAACCCGCTTCGAGAACCATTTTGACTTCTGCTGATGCTGCTTTGTTTTTCTTCGGCTCGGCATGCCTGAGTTTCTACTTGACAGGTTTGTAGCCTTCCCAGATATTTAGCTTGTGCGTCATGACATTAGGATCGATGCCCGGTATTTCATATGCTATAAAAAAGCGAAGATGTCTTTGAATTCTCTAAGTAATTGGATGATTTTTTCCTTGAGATGGGGGTCTAACTTCTTTCCCACTCTCACAGTCCGAGTGGGGTCATCCCCTAGAGAAATGCTTTCATCTTCCTCAATAGGCTTAGGCATACCGTATTGCTTTAGATTTTCATCCATATAGAAGTTCATTACGGGGAGCTAGGGTTTGTCTACGTCCATTGCCTTTCTCTTGGACCCTTTATCCTCTTGATTGACCAAGCCATCGAGTTGTTTCAAGCTATCTACATAGCATTTCCCCCCCCCCTCGAGTTGGTCTCTATATATCTTCCCCATGCAGTGGCGGATCCAGTATTTTAGGGGTGTTGGGTCACCGACTCACCGTCACCAATCAACCGCATACAAATCAATAATTAATGTTATACATCCGGTGTACAATAATAAATTGTACATCGAAGGACACTTTTATCAAATTTAGGGTCACTTTTAAAAAAATTTGGGTTACTTTTATTAATAAAGCATAAATACTTCGCAACTTATATTTATGCTAAGGTAACTTTTATTCATATTAGGGTCATATTTACCCATTTTAGGGTAACTTTATAACGGATGTACAATATTTTATTGTACATTCGATTTATTTAAAAGTTTGTCAAAATAAATATCTTGTGGGAGAGGAAGGAGGATTTGTGACGGATAATGACAAATTACCAATAAAATTGCCAAAAAGATTTAGAATGGCGAGCTTTAACAAGTTACCTAATGGGAACTAAGAATGTAAGATTTGAGGGATGAAGGTAATAAATTTCAACAAGTTACCTAGTGAGAATACGTGTTCAACAAAATACGTTCTCAAAATTAGGGAGTAATAAATAAATTTAAAATAAGTGCTAAAAAACATATATATATATATATATATATATATATATATATATATATATATATATATATATATATATATATATATATATATATATATATATATATATATATATATATATTGCCATATAGGTAGTATATGATATTTGACAAAATTATATTATGCCTCCACCAAAAACAAAGAAAGAACAAAGAAAGAAAAAAAAAAGAACAAAGAACAAAGAAAGGAACAATAACAGAAAGCAAAAAAAGAAAGAACAAAGAAAGGAACCGAAAACAAAAAAAAGGAAGAACTAAGAAAGCAAAAAACAAAGGAATTGCTATTGCAAGGCCTTGATCTCATGACCTCAATATATAGGAGTGAAGCCTTAACCACTAGACTAATGGGCACTTATGATTATTTAATGCAACGTTTAATATTTAATGGCTCTTTTTTTTTGCTGGGTCCCGTGACCCACCGTGCACAAGGGTGGCTCCGCCACTGTCCCCATGGAGCCATCATTAGTCTCAAACTAAAGAAACAGATGTTAACTTTATTGAGCAAGGGCCGGCTAATGATCATGTTGTATGGCAGAGGGGTGTCCACAACAAAGAATGTGAATACTAGCTTGATCGTTTGGGGTAGATGAGGGAGTGCCAATATCGTAGATGGGTTCCTTAAGAGATAGCAAATGGCCTTTGCGTGCTTTGAGGCATATCCCTCGCCTATGACATTGATGCCCATGTTGGTGTTATGAGCTTCTTGCAAAACTCTGGAAACCTTGCTTCTTTGTTTGTCTTTGGGGGGGGGGGGGTTGTTTGAGATATCAATTAAGCTTGCCTTCATTTGTTAGCTCATCAAGTGCTCTATTGACTTCCCGACAGTTCTGGAGGGTATGGCCACAGTCCAGAGTTTTTTGTTCCTTTGCTCTATTGGCGTGTTCATTGGATTCGGCTTGAGAAGGATAACATCGTATCTAAGTCCTTTATCATCACTCTTGGCCTTGCTCGGCTTTCTGATTCTGTTCTCATGATAGTTGTCTTCATGCTTTCTTTTTCCCTTGTCCTTACCCAAGGGTGCCTTGCACACCTCGCTTGCTTCAATGATTCTTTCAACTCTTTCCATGGTTTCGGAGAAAGTAGTGACTTCATCTTGCACAAGCTCAAATTTCAGCTTGTTAAACTTGAGTACGAAGAGAAGGGCTGGGAAAGCAACATTTTCTGGAGGTCAGGGATGAGTTGAGACTCGGTGTTGAACCTCTTGATGTAGTCTTTAAGATTTTCATTCTCTCCTTGCTTTTCCGTCATCAAGTGAACGCTAGTCTTTGTCTGCCTACTCCCAACGATGAAATGCTTTTTGAATTGGCTGGCTAGCATGGATGCTTCCTGGGTTAAGGCTGTTGAACCATGTATGGGCTATGCCCTCGAGAGTGGTGGGGAAGAATTTGCACCAAGAGGCTTCACACTCGGTTTAGACTCCCATTTGTGCCTTGTAAGCGTTCAAATGGTCTGTTGGGTCTGTCTTTCCATCATATGGGTCTAATGTAGGGATTTTGACCTTCGGGGGAATTGGTGTGTTCATTATCTCCAGGCTGAAGGGGGTGATATTCTTGACAATCCCAAGCCTCCTCGGCCAGGGAAGGGAGGACGATCCGGGCTTCTACTTGCTGAGCGAGCGGGAGCGAGCGGGATGAGGAGGGGTCCTTCTTCTTTGTCTTAAAGTAGCTGAGTTAACCAAGCTATCCCGGTAGCTGAGTTAACCAAGCTACCCTGGTATCTTTTTGAAGTAGCTGAGTTAATCAAGATGCGGGGACGCCTAGTGTTCACCATGGCTTTTTGTTAGTTATCCCCACAGACGGTGACACCTGTTCCTGGCTCCTGGGAGTCTTAGAGTAGTAAGGTATTAAGATGTTCTAGAACTTGTGTCCGATTGTCCAAGTGTCCTTTGGCTCCGCCTAGCAAAGGGGTGTCTGAGAGCTACGCTTGCACGTCCGAGAGCTCGGCCTGCAAAACAAGGAAGGTTAGCTGCCTTAGGGGTGTGACCCGGGAAAGCCCCTTTGATGCTTAAGTCAGCAAGGGAAATCTCTAGAGAGAGAAAATAGAGAGAAAGAGAGAGAGAGAGAGAGTGTGTGAATTCAGAAAAAGTTCCTATCATTAATGGTTGAAAAAGTATTTATAGTTGTACTTTCAGGTGGCAAAAGTTGTACTTAATTGGACAGATTAAGGGTAAATCTGTACTTTGCAATGATTAATGATGGGTTGAATCATGGAGGGGTATTTTCGTAATTCCAGATCAATGGGCTTAGGACAATGGGCTTGGCCCAAACACCTGCTGAATTTAATAGCTCATCACTTAAATATGATTTGATCGGAATCGATCTGAACGACCCATTTGAAACCTTTAGGAGCCGCCTCTAATTGGGCATGACAAATTTCCACATTATCCTGGTCTTTTTCTCCGTTATGTCTTTGTCTCGACATGTCTAATATTGTCACATATACATCATACAAATGAATGTCGACACTGACTGTTATTCTATAGAGCCAATGCACTTTGAACCTAGGGCTAACCAATAATTTTCTTGTCTTATTATTTTTTTATTTTATTTTATTAATTTTAGAAGTATAAAGTGAAAATTTTAATCAAACCAGCAAGGTCAAGACTAATTCTGGTGGAGTAAGCTAGCAAGTTAAAAGGGTTGCTTCCACTTTTTAAGCATCTTTACTTCATAGGATCTTCTACTTCACTCCTTAAATATCTACACTAATCTCCATACTTCATGTGTTGCAGTCATTCTATCATTGTAAACTAGAAAAATTCCGTATTTGTTAAAAGTCTGCATTTTTTCCATACCAAAAATGCAACCATGAACAATCAATCAAGCATCAATTTCGACTACTTCCAGCCTCTGTTTTTTTTTTTTTTTTTTTTTTTTTCCTGCTTATCACCGTGATTAGGTTCAGAGTTCTTTTTTAGGTGGGCAATAATTCGGGTTGAGGTTAAATTTTTCATTTGCCTATAACTAACCTTAAACATTCAAGGATACATTAAGTCTCTTGGATTCCACGTCATTGTTGCATGTTGATTTATGAAATGATGGAGACATACAACGTATGTGTCCTATGTGACAAGGAATAGGGACCATGTAGAGTTTGAACCTTAATTGTCAATGGTTTATTATGTTCGACTTACCAACTACCAGGTTACTACTGTCTAAATCATCTGTGTTATGCCTTGGCAGGGTGTTGGTCTTATCGTCCGCATAGCAGCTCTAACGACTGAACCTGTGTATCAATTTTTACACCATCAGCTGGCTTGCTTAGAGCCATATCTTGGGGCCTGTCCATATACCTGAATGCCCTGGTGAAATTGGGTTCTGCATCGGTAATAATTGGCAATAAACTGCCCATTGATGTTAATGCTGCAATTATATGTTGAATTTCAGTGAAGTCGAATGATTTGTTTGCTGACTCAGAATCTAGTGCTACATATGCAAGCTACAATGTCATCATATTGATTGAAACACAACTTTCAATGGTTTTTGAACTGTCCTTGTGTAGGATTTGAAATTGTATAGAGAAAATGGATTGGATAATAATACCACAACTAGACAATAATATTGTATTTACTCTTCTCTTTGACACAAACCAATACGACTCTGGTTCAACTTGATTTTCCCTTCATAACTTAAATTCAAGATAAGTTGACGTTTTTTTTATAGGAGAGTGTTGCAGATGAGGTAATAGTTGTATAGGATTTAGTAAGGTAAGCATAAATAGTTGGCTCCAAATTATAATAGATGAGCTTAAAGTATGTAATACATGTAAAAAACAAAAAAAAAATTGAATATACACGAGAAACAAATTCATTTCCTTACATGGCAAGCGTAAAAAATCCCACCCAATTCCATATGTTGGCTAAACCCTACAGACCTTAAGTTCATAACTAGGAATTTTTGTGCAAGATTATTCTCGTAAGGATTTCCTTGTCGCAAATTCACCAAGTACAAATCAAACTTCTAAATTAAGTTAAAGAGATGTAGACTTATTATACTATTGTAATCTATTATTTTCCACTCCCATTAACCCCGGCTGTAGTACTTGGGGCTTGTTCTCTTCAGCTGAATTTCAATTCAATTCAGCTTAGCTCAATTCCTAATTTATTTCTTTCATAAATAGTTCAGTTCAATTCAATTTAGTTCCTAATTTCCTTCTCTCATAAATAGTTCAGTTCAGTTCATTACATTTCAGCTCAGTTCAATAAATTAGAACAGGCCCTTAGAGCTTTCCCTACCAATAATCATTTTTGGGATGGTCAGAGTGCCAACATCAATAAGGTTTGTCCATCCTTTTAACTCACTTACTGGATATCTTGAGGATCCTCCTGATTGTGCAAGATGATGAGAGGATACACTTAACTAATACTCCCTTTGTCTCATAATATAGTTTCTATTTGTATTTTGGAAAATTCTCAATGGTAGCCTTCTACTTTTGCTTATTCTCAATGGTAGCCAATTTTTTTTCGGATTCTCAATGGTAGCGCTAAACTTTCAACTTTTTACAATGGTAACCTTAACGTTGATTTTCCGTTAAATCTAACTTACTCCGTCTACGGAGTGATAAACAAATTAACTATTCTAATATTTAAAGTAAAAAGGAAAAAAAAAATAGAAAAACAACTCCCAAAAAAAACTTCATACTCTATCTCTCCTCTTTCTTTGACCTCCAAAATCAAAAGATCTATCTCTCCACCTTCATCACCATTATTTGATAAATGTGTCAATGTCCATCAACCTCAAAACTCTTAATTGTGTAGTTCTCTAAAGTACTCTTCTTTTCTCCCCCTTTTTCTTTCAATCAATTTCTAGTGTTCTTCATTTTCGTGGATGAGGTTTTCAATATATGGGTGGTGATTTTCCTGGGTTGGGGGTATCTTAGGAGGGGTTAAGATGGGTAGGGTGTTCGTGGTTGAGGTTTTGGTAGGTGTAGGTGGTAATTGTGTGAGTTGCGGGTTTCTTGGGTGGGGATTTGGTGGGCGGCAGCAGTTTCCATGGGGGTGTTTTCGTGAGTGGGGTTTTGGTGGGTGGCTGATTTTGTGATGGGTTTTGGGGTTGGAGGCCAATTTCGTGGGACTGTGGGAGGTTGTTGCGGTTGAGTACTAAAGGGGGATGGAGATGTGGTGGTTGTTGCGGTGGAAGGGGGGACAGAGATGTGGTGGTTGTTGGAGTGGGGAGGGTGTTGCGGGTGGAGGGTTTTGGGGTTGGAGGTGGCTGCCATGGAAGATGAATGAATGAAAGCAGAGAGAAAATGGATGACAACAATTTAAGTTAATAGATATTTAATGGTTTAGACTTAATAAGGTTACGGTTACAACTTTGTAAAAATTGAAGGCTACCATTGAGAATCCGAAAAAAAATTTGGCTACCATTGGGAATAAGCAAAAGTAGGAGGCTACCATTGAGAATTTCCTTTGTATTTTTTCACATTATTTAAGAAATAGGAGGAGAATGTTGATGAAATACATTAATAAAAGTGATAATCATAGACAAAAATTAGAGAGAAAACTGGAAAAGGTACAAATTATGTGCAAACGAAAAATATTGTGTAGAACGGACTCATGTGAGTCCGTTCTATTTAGGGATTTGTTAAACATCGCCCACAAATTACTACATAAAGCCCACAAAATTCACTTGGTTTGCCAAAATTGCCCTTGACCTTAAAAAAACACTCACACTCTCATCACTCACAATCTCATTGCTCATCTTCTTTCAACCTCTCTAAAAAAAAAAAATTCAAATAACGGCAATGTCGAGGCGGCAAGGCAAGGAATTGGCGGCGGCGGCGGAGGGAAGGATGTCCCAAGGAGGAAAGGTACATTTTGTTTAAAAAAAAAAAGGGAAAAACCGCCGTGAACGCGGTGGGGCGCCCTGGCTGGACGCCCAGCCAGCGGTGGTGGCGCCAGATGCAGACGCCGCCACCAGTTGGCTGGCGCCTGGGCTGGACGCCACAGCCACGGTTGTGGCGTTTATTCTAGGCGCCGCAGCCGTGGCTGTGGCGTCCAGCCCAGGCGCCAGCCAACTGGTGGCGGCGTCTGCAGCTGGCGCCACCACCGCCGGCTGGGCGTCCAGCCAGGGCGCCCCCCCCCCAATTTTTTTTTTTTTTTATTTTTTTAAAAAATAGTTTTTAATTTATTTTATTTTATTTTTTTTGTAATATAATTTTGAATTGTTTTTATATGTTGTTGTTTATTTTTATAAATTTTTTCAATTTCGTTGTATTTTTTCTACGTTTATATTTTGTTTACAATTATTTGTATGTTTTTAGTTTATTTGATTTGCGATGATGATTATTTATCGTATAAATTTTTGTATGTTTATATATTTTAAAATTTTGTGTAGAATTCACTGGGTCGTCATGGTGGGGGGAAGAATATAGAGCTTCTTAATAGAAGTTATTCAGTGGAGAGGTCGGGGCATAGACATGTCAGATCCCGTGGTATTTCGGCCTCAGTTCGTAGAGAACGGATCCACCGTCGGGATGAAGATGACGATGATGATGCTGAGGAGGGTGACCAGGAGGAGGAGCAGGAGGAGGGCGCAGATGAGGATGAGGATGTGGACGATGGCAGTGGACCGTATGATGATTACGGTCCATTCAGTCAGAGGGTTGATGACATGTACGAGACGCATATGGTGGAGGTGCGTAAGGGTAGGGGTGGTAGGTTTGTTAGTAGATCTGGCACATCATCTGCGTCCACTGTATCTGGGGCAAGCAGGAAACGGTCGACGGCCGGTAATGATTCTTGGGTTGTTAGGAGTGAGGTGCCCGGTGGGCCTGTTGACTGGAGTGTGATTCCTAGCTTTCTAGGACACATAGCTGCCCGTATTTGGGAGGACCAGGAGAGGCCTTCAGTTACGGGGTTGTTGAAATGTCATACCCGGGAAAAGACTTGTAGCTTTTTGCGTACATGGGCTGAGGCCTGGCCGGCGGAGAGCGAGATGTTCGAGCGACTGGAGGGCACTGGGGTGAAGCACGTTCCTGCCACCATGCACGATAAGATTGACAGTACGCTGATCACGGCTTTCATTGAGCGATGGCAGCCGGATACAAACTCTTTCCACCTTCCGTTCGGTGAGATGACGATCATGTTACATGACGTCGAGGCCATTCTGGGGATTCGTGTTGAGGGTAAACGACTTTGTGCTGTGGCTGATGCGGATCAGGCAGATTCGCTGGCGGAGTTGTTGGCGGTGGACAGGGCTGCACTGTACACCGAGGCGCTAGGTGTTTGGGAACACGGAGGTGTGAAGATCGCATCCGTGTTGCAGCGGTGTTTGTACCCGAGTGCACGTAGGACGCCCGACGCACAGCTGAGTGCTTATGTTTTTCTACTCCTCGGATGTACCTTGTTTCCGGATAAGAGCGGCGGAAACAAGCTCAGGCCATGCGACATCGTAGAGGCGTGTGACCCCGACAGTGTAGGCCAGTTTTCCTGGGGATCGGCTACGTTGGCGTATTTGTATCGCCAACTAGGATTTGCGAGTCGGGCTGACGCGGCAGGTATCACTGGGTGTCTGACTCTATTGCAGACCTGGATATACGAGTACTTTCCTGCATTGCGACCACATCGTGACCCAGTTCCTATTGATGAGGGGATGCCGCGTGCTTGTGCGTGGAGTCCGCGCTCGGAGAAGAAGTCCGTTGACCGCCTCCGATCGATACGGTTATTGCTGGACAGGCTGTCCCCCTTAGAGGTAACGTTTATTTATAGAGTCTACATTTTATTATTTGCACATATTATATTCATGTTATTAAATTTTATATGTTGTTATTGTACAGGTGAACTGGATGCCTTTCGGCCCGAACCCTAGTGTTAGGGTACCCAGGACCCTGTACATGGGACTCATTCAGTATCGTGACATCGTCGAGGCGTACATGCCCCAGCGTTGTCTTCGCCAGCTTGGATTTGTCCAAGTTGTCCCTCCTCCCCCGGCGTGCCCGATGAAGGCGGTCCGACCTGCATCGTCGAGGGACTACGTCGTGGAATGGCCGGATATCATGACCGGGACGTGGGACCAGTTTCCGATGGTGGCCCGCTTATGGACTGCGGAGTTGCAGCGGCCGCCCTCTGGGGTTACTCCCATGTGTGACCATTACTACATGGAATGGTTCAACCGGTATTCGCACCCGAGGTTGATCGCTGATCTCGACCACAGCGATGATGATTATGTGCCACCGCCTACTGCCACGGAAGCGGTATGTCTTTTATTATATTTATCGTTGTCTTTTAATTAAGTTTTATTTGTTGTTATTGTATTTCATCTTCTGTTTTTTGTTGTATGCAGTGGATGGGAAAGATAATGCAAGACGTACAGAAACTCTCTCTTGAGAAGGACAGCATGAGTGCAACAGGGAGAGCTGTTGTTGATAGTCTGGAACAGACCCTTGCGCAGTGGGAGTCGTCGTCGAGGAGGAATTACTGATGGTTATTGTATTTTATTTATAGAGCATTATGTTGGACATTATGTTGTAAAATTGTAACATTTTAGATTGTTCTTTTAGCTTCCAACTTAAACATATTATCAGTGCTGTTTTTAAATTTTGATATAACCGTTCGTGGATCCGCGCAACTTACCCATGCAACATATAGAATGCAGTAAGCAATACAATATAAAATATTAATGTTC